ATAATAACGGAGATTCAAGCCTGAATCAAGTAATGTTCATAAACAGACAATGTGTAAATATAATTCAAAATGACTACTAATTTATTTGCCATTTGTGTCTCCATCAACAACTATTTCAAGAAATTAATTACAGCATCCCTGTTAGCTTCTCTTCTATCAGTAATCATTACCATGACTCAGAAGGGAAGATATGCTATTTCCTATTAAGGTGAAATCAGGTACGGTTAGGATGTTTGGATTAAGAGCAGAATTGGGATCAAATAACCAATGAACAAACTAAAAATCAGTGTAATGTTTGAGAACAGATACAGTTTGAAGAAATATTCTGACTCAAGATCAGAAAATAAAGGTTTGGCTAAATACCTCTAAATAGTGGTTTTGAAACTGCTTTTTTTTCTTCTTTCTTTTACAGGCACTGGCTAGGAAACTATTTTATTCATAAATAACTGAAATGAAGCCTCAAATGAAGCATCTGTTAAAAAAAAAGACAAAATGGTATATTTATCTTCTACCATTTTGCCTCTTAATTTCAACAATATCTAAAATTATTCAAGGGCTTTTGGGGAGAGTACTATTCTTTTTCTCTTTCTTATTCAGTTATCATCATCGTGACACAATAGAGTAAGAATGAACTTGCTCCTTCTCCAAAACATATATCACAAAGCCTTACAAATATCAGGAACAAAAAGCTTTTGAATGTTTTAGTAGTCATTAAAGCTGTGCAAACTTCAAAAGAGTATTTCAAACTAATCAAAGTTTCAATTAAAGCATATCTCCAAAGCAGAGCATCAAGCTGAAGTGGCATTCCCCTTTGAAGCATCTGACTGGAGCAATTGCTCTGCTTCAGTCCATATGCTAAAGTGAGATTCTGAAACCTACACAGTAGTTCCTTTCCACTGAATTGAAAAAAACTGATAAAATCAGATTGGTTCACTTCAACATTTCAGTTCAAGGCAAAGTGATTCAATCTTCCATGTAAAAATCAGATTTTGTTTGTTTATCTGTCGTCTATCTCGCCAACTTTGGGCAATTTACAATATTAAAAACAACAAAACCATGAAAGATAGATATTTCTAATAGCAATAAAAATACAAATCATAATTAAAGATGGGGAAGAAGGGAGCAAGATGCACTAGGGAGTGAGATGGGATCTTCTATTGGTTCATCAACCATCTCCGGAGTTATAATCCCCTGGTCGGGCACCAAGTCAACTGGCAGAGTCAGGTCTTCAGAAGGCCAAAGGGGTGGGAGCAGATCTCACCCTGGGGCAGGGCAAGATATTCCAAAAACAGGAGTCACAGCAGAGAAACTAGACCCTGCCATCCTTGATTGATGGGATCCACAGCATGCCTCTTCAGCCAGTGGGGGTGGGTGGGTATGCCAGTTCCATTATGGTGAGATTGTTATGATGGCCTTGAAGTACAACAAAGTTATCTGGTACAACCCTATCAATAAATTTCTTACCCAAATGAACGGCAATTTGTAGGAAATAAGAAATATTGATAAAGCTAATTTATAGTGGGTTATCATTTTATTTAACCAACCTGGTAAGGTCTGTTATTTTGGCTGATATTTTCTATCTAAAATCTTACATTTTCAATCTCTTATGTGACGATGTATTTGATGACACTTTGGAATGAACAGATCTTTCATTAAAGTTTCTCTTCAGGTGGTAACTTTTACTCACTGAAAGCAACTAAAAACTTTTTATCCAACTAGGCCCTATATATTTGCTATCATATTTTTCCTGGGAAAACATCAAAACATGAATTTCTCCCCAATTCTTTCTCACTCTGCAGTTTCCAAGCAAATGCACCCAATTCCTCCACATTATTTTTGTTTTGTATTTTTTTTTAAGGTAGAGATGGTTAAGAATGTTGGAAAATTAACTTCTGATAAATATATATCCATAACAATAAACTTTCCATTTCTAGACCACAATTTAGAATTTATCATTTTATATCAGTTTGGAATATTATTCTTCAGTAAAGGTCCATTAAATAGTGTCTTGTCAATTAATATGACTGTCACCGAAGTTTTCATCCTGACAGCTTGCTCTTAACATATAGCTACAATCCTGTCTACATCACAACAGTGAGTTTCCAAACATCAAAAAGTATAATATCCTCTTTCCATAACAAAGCATCCATTGTCAGTAATGCCTATGTTTTTTTTTTTAAATCACATAACCGATTCCAAAGTCAGGTACTATGGTGGAAAGTCTAAATTACATTAAAAAGTCCACAATCTGAATCTATCTGAACTATGTAACTTAAGCACATAGTTGGGTTGCCTTGCAGCAGTCAGAAGCAATGTGCTTCATACTGTATTAAGAAGGGCAAGAATGGACCAATAAAGGAAATCTATATGAGACAACAAAGCTTTTTAAAGGGTTGGTTCTTCTAGTTTTATCCTATTGAAGCAAACTGTTTTCTGTCTCAACCTTCTAACAATGGACTCCTGTTTTATATATTATAACAAGTTGATATATATGAATGCCTTTGCCTTATATATATTCTAAATTCTGCACTATTATTAATTAAGGCCAAACCCTTAATGTATAATGTAACTAAGACAAAGTTTCCTATGGGGAAAAAAAAAAAACACTTCCTTTCTGTCCAATGTCTTAATCTGAACCCTGCCATAGAAACAAGGAATTCATAATTTAAAAAAAAAAAAATACTACATTTTTTCAAACCAAACTCTTGGTGACTTTTACACAAGTCTGAGCAAAGAAATTAAACTTTATTCCAATATTTACTGCCTGTCACCTTCACTTATTTAACTTCTCCATTTCAGACTGCTGCAAAAAGCACACAAGAAAGCCAGTAGGACAAAATAATTAGTTTAGAAAACATTTCTCTAATCTAGTGCCCCCTATATGTGTTGTGACTTCAAGTACTAAAATTTAAACCAGTTTGGAAATTTGGATGACATAAAGTCGGTAAAGAGTACCCTTCTCATTTTGTTTGTCCCCTATTAAATAGTCATTTTTTTATTCTGATCCTCATCTTTAATGGCAACTGGCCATAGCTATGAAACACGTCACTTCCTTTTTAGTTCCAGGCCTAGATCTACTTAATTTCTATGTTTATGCATTATTTAGTTGCACCATTACTTGGAGATTTGCTGGGGATGATGTATGAAGCAAGTCAACTGAAAAATATTGTATTTACTATGTTGTAGTAAGTCAAGATATTAATATTTTATATTTATTCTCATACTTCATTCACACACTTAAAAGTCAACAATTGATGCTGCAATTATAAAATCATGAATGCATATGGCCTATGACAACTGAAACAATACTAATTTTACAGTCTACATCTTTATCTTTTGCCCACTACACAACATTTAGGAGAAATGAAAGAGAACAGATCACTATATTTAGCATGGAATAGGCTCAACATTTCACTCCTTAATGCTCATAAAACTCTACACTTCTTCAAGACCAGAAATCAGAGGTAGATCACCAACACTAAATTACTACAAAGAAACATTGTCCCCAAGCTATCCAGTTTCAGAATCTTATGTAGGAGTCTTGGAAAAAAACTTAATATGAAATGGGAAATAATTGTTACCAAGAGCGAAAGGAATAAAACGATCTAAGTTGTAAGTCCTTTTCAACCAGTGGGGTATATATGAACTATATCAACCAGAAAGTACTGTACTATTTCAATACTGCTTTGCTGCTACTCTTCATTCAACAGCAAAATAAGCTAGTTTCCTTGAGGAAAGCACCGTGCAATTGAATATTGTCATTCCTTACATCAAGGGTCTGAACAGGCCAATAACTAGAGGTAGCTGAAATCTCCCAAGAAACAGTTCTTAATTCCTTAATTTGGGTTGACTTCCCATTTTAAATATCCCAAATTTGCCACAAAGATACCAAGCATACTTCAGTTCAAGTCTGCTATCTCACCAAGAGAAGCCAGGATAAATATAATCACCAATTCTAGGAACACCCCATTGTTACCGTAACCATTATTAAGGTAATAAGAAAGTCAATCTGTTCCTTATACTCACAGTTGTAAAGTTCTTGTGGCTGCACTCCTGTCCCCGGAACTTGCAGTACAACAGCATCTCCTTCATGTCATGGCCCACACGCCCTAGGAACTCACTCATGCTGAAGACCTTGGCTCGATGCTGCTGAAAGTTGGTTTTCTCTTGCAATATGGCCAGGACCGTTGGGTCAGCAAGATGGGGATGAAGGATTTGTAAATTCACATCCAGCAAAGCCAGAAGGTCACCAGCATGGTACAGATCATTGGTGGTGAGACGGGAGAAGCGGAACCCATTAAAGTTGCAGATGGTGACAGCTGGGAAGACCAAGCTGTTAGCAACGAGTCCATCCACCTTGGTGATATGCTGATAAGAAAAGTAGTAAATCACTCGCTCAGAGCTCTCTACCAAGAGGAGGCCCAGGGAAGCTACAAATGCTAGAGCCCATAGAGCCCGCCGCACAGTCATAGGTCCATAAACAAAGATATGGCGGATTCCATGTAGGGTTGAGGTGTTAGCAAAAATCTGGAGGCTGGAAGGCTGAAGGCTCCCTAGGCTTCCCTCACTGGTGCTGTCCTTCAAATCCATGGAGAAAGAATTGGTCATAAAGGTACCAATTCTATCCTCTGCCTGCAGCCAGCTTCTTGTGTACTCCAGCCCTCACTCATGGGGTGAAAGAAGCAGTAGAGTCAGAAAGCAGGCAAGGTAGCTATGTATATGCGTTTCAGTAGCAGTTGGTGAGGTGCCTCCTGCGTGCTTCTCAGCAGCCTGGCAATGATGTGGTGGGGGGGAGAGAAGTGTTTATTTAAAATCCATTGCAACTCTATTGCTTGATTTCCTTGCTGCGATAAGGAGGGCTGGTTTTATTTAGGGAGACACCAAGGTGATGTGGAATAGATGTGGGTGGGAAGGCAAGAATCAGCCAATAGAAACAAAACCCTCCCTCTTTCTCTCCCTCTCCCCCCCCCACTCTCTCTCTCTCACACACACACAGAATCTAATGATGAAAGGTGTGTGTATGTCTGTTTGTAAAGATGGGGTGAAATCTATGCAGCACGCAGTCCATCAGTTAACCAAATCGGAGCTTGGAATCCATCAGTTAATATTTTACATTTAAAGAGCCTGCTGCCTTTAACACAGCAACATACCGCAGAACAGAGCTGAGGCTCTTAAAGGATCAACAGTAACCCCATCCCCCACGATTTTCCAGGCTGTTGGATTCCAGCATCTTTCCCTGCTCTCTCATCTCAGCCTGCATTCCTGTAACAGAAACCAGCTGGCAAATCTTAATCTGAGAATTCCGCACAATTGAAGCCAAGGGAAAGCCAAAGAACAAAACTCACAGGACAAAAGAGTTGAACATGACCAGGTTTAATACCACTGCAAAGCATCTGGGAAAGATTTGACATTTTCACCCTGAGCAGTTGTTCTTTCAAGAAGAGAGAGCAGCCAGGATTCGGTGCCAAGGATATTTGGCAGGAAAGATTTGCCAGAAAAGGCACCAGTGGCATTGCACTTTTCAGCAGCAAATAAGTTTCCTTTTTCTGCCCTTTAATGATTGCCATCAGTCTTGACAGAGTCAGGTATTTTTCCACATGAACATGCATGCTTTTTTGCTTTCTCTCCATCTGAAGTCCAGGACTGGTACATTTGAGAAACGGCAGAAGAGAAAAGTTAAAAGCATCAAGGTATGTTACGATCACAGGCTATTTCAGTTTCTTCTAATAGTTATATATTGTAGAGAAATAGATGTCTTGAATTTGGTGATTTGCAGCATTTTTCATACAAAATAATTAGCAGTAATCCTAAACAAAATTTATGTCTGAAATTCAAGAGACAGAAGAACAATGGATGTTTAATATCTTAAACTGAGACCCAGCACTTGTGTGTATGTGTGTGTATGTGAGTAAATACCATCCCAATTATGAACACTCATAGCAAGAATTACATGGATATGTCCATGTACATAATTACACAAGCAACAATCCATCCAAATTAAGCAGTTTAAGACCATAATTCTATATACATTCATCTGAGACTTTTCTGCGTAGATGTATGTAAGATTATATTATCAGGTTGCTAAGATGCAAGTCCTATTGAACACACAGAGATTTTTTTCTCAGAAAATATAGTTGTATGTGGAGATATTTATTTTAATGAAGGCCTAGCTACTCAGTTAAATTTCACTTATTAAGTAGAAAATCATGACACTTCACTTGGATCATGTTTATATTGCTAAGATGAAGCATCCATGCCCTAAAGTTAATAATGGTAAATCCTTTCATTTGTCATTGTTTATGCTATTTTTGCTAACTTTCAATATTTATTGCCAGATTTATTCCAAACTTTTATTTAAATAATAAATAAACTCATGGATTATTCTTCAATATAATCCTGTAAAGTAGGATCAGCATGTTGAGATAATAACTGGCCCAGGGTCAGCCCATCAGCTTTAGAACTGAGTTGGAATTTTAAGCTAAATCGTACTTCACAGTCCAATATTCATTATATCGCAAACACTAGCTATTTAGTAAATTGTGAATGTGATTGTTTGAACAAACAGGCTGCATGTTTTCCCTACTTCCATGATTTTTCATGGTGCCAGAAGTAAAATAAAACAAAATTTCAGCAGGGATAGTATTAAACATGAAGGAGCCCTACCACCTTTTATATTTTAGTTTTTCCTTCTTTTGCTCTATACTGGGGAAGGAGTTAAACTGTTTCACATCATCCTCATCAAATATATAAAATATTTTTGGAGATCTATGTTCAACTCCATCCCCTTAAAGTCTACTTTTTTAAAATCTATTTTGCAATTTCTTACCAATGTGTAATTTGGGACTTTGCCCCCACCCTGAAATTTTACATTGAACAGTATACAATGGATACAGATGTCACTGCACAGATTTCACAAGGTTTTATACAGATTTAAAAGGTAAAGTCTCTCTTAAGCTCACCTCCTAAAGCTACTCGGATTGGACTATATATTGTAGTTTAATTTAAGAACAATTTGAAAGTGATTTGTCCTTTCATCTGAAAATAAATTGTAATTCCATAAAATAAATAATTTTAAACAAAGCTCTAATGGGGTATCTCAAAATCTCTTTGAGACTCCAAGTTCTTCACCAGTGTAGCCTTTATTTATTTATTTATTTATTTTATTTATTGAATTTATATACCGCCCTACTCCCGAAGGACTCAGGGTGGTGAACAGCCAAAAGATAAAATACAATACAAATGTTAAAAAATCATTAAAATACAATTAAATAATTTGGCCCAGAAAAGAAAATTTAAAAACCCAAATTTTATAAGACAAATTTAAAATTTAAAAAATGTAAAAACAATTTAAAAAAGAAGTTAGGCCAGGCCAGCCTGCTGGAATAGGAATGTTTTGAGGGCACGGCAGAAAGCACGCAGATCAGTGATCCTCCGTATCTCCGGGGGGAGCTCGTTCCAGATGGTGAGTGCTCCCACAGAGAAGGCTCTCCCCCTGGGGGCCGCCAGTCGACACTGTTTGACCGACGGCACCCTAAGAAGCCACTCTCTATGGGAGCATACTGGTCGGTGAGAGGCTACTGGTAGCAGAAGGCGGTCTCGTAGATACTCCGGTCCTAGGCCATGGTGGTAACCAAAACCTTGAAGTGCACCCGGAAGACCACCAGGAGCCAGTGCAGCTCGCGCAGGAGGGGGGTCACATGGGAGCACCACGTTGCTCCCATAACCACCTGCGCGGCCGCATTCTGGACCAGCTGGAGCCTCTGCGTGTTCCTCAAGGAGAGCCCCATGTAGACAGCATTGCAGTAGTCCAAGTGGGAAGTGACGAGGGCATGAGTGACCATATTTAGCAAGTCCTGATCCAGAAAGGGACGCAACTGGCGAATCAGGCGAACCTGATAAAATGCCCTCCCGGCCATAGCCGTCAGATGCCCTTCTAAAGACAGCTGTGAGTCCAGGAGGACACCCAAGTTGCGGACCCTCTCCGTGGGGGCCAACGACTCGCCCCCAATAGTCAGTGATGGCACCAACTGACTATATCGGGATGTCGGAAACCACAGCCACTCGGTCTTGGATGGGTTGAGTCTGAGTCTGTTTCTCCCCATCCAGATCTGTTCAGCCTCCAGGCACCGGGACATCACTTCAAGAGCATCATTGGGGTGGTCCAGGATGGAAATGTACAGCTGAGTGTCATCAGCGTACTGATGGTACTTCACCCTGAAACCACGGATGATCTCACCTAGCGGCTTCACATAAATGTTGAACAGAAGGGGCGAGAGGACCGACCCTTGTGGTACCCCACATACAAGGGGCCTCGGGGTTGACCTCTGCCCCCCTGCCAACACAGACTGCGACCGGTCAGAGAGAAAGGAGGAGAACCACCGCAACACGGTGCCGCCCACCCCTAACTCTTCCAGCCGGTGCAGCATGATACCATGGTCGATGGTATCAAAAGCCGCTGAGAGGTCTAATAGGACCAGGACAGAGGAACAACTCCTGTCCCGAGCCCTCCAGAGATCATCAACCAATGCGACCAATGCCGTTTCCGTGCTATACCCAGGCCTGAAGCCCGACTGGAATGGATCTAGATAAGCCGATTCATCCAGGTACTGAGGGAGCTGTCATGCTACCACACTCTCAACAACCTTCACAACAAAGCGAAGGTTGGAGACTGGACGGTAATTAGCCAACACTGCCGGGTCCAGGGAAGGCTTCTTGAGGAGAGGTCTCACCACCGCCTCTTTCAAGGCAGCGGGAAAGACACCCTCACTCAAGGAAGCATTTATAATCCCCTGGAGCCAGCCTCGTGTAACCTCCCGAGAGGTCAGCACCAACCAGGAGGAACATGGGTCCAATAAACATGTGGTAGCATTCAGTCTACTCAGTATCCAGTCCACATCTTCGGGAGTCACAGAATCAAACTCTTCCCAGATAATATTCTAAAGACCTGCCTCCATCCTCTTCCCTGGATCTACCCCGTTGGAGTCCAGGTGTTCCCGAATCTGAGTGATTTTATCATACAGATACTGTACAAAATCCTCAGCTCTGCCCTCCAAGGGGTCCTCCCGCACTTCCTGAAGGAGCAGGGAGCGGGTCACCCTAAACAGGGCGGCCAGGTGATTATCTGATGATGCAATAAGAGCGGAAAAATAGTTACATTTTGCCGCTTTTATCGCCACTAGGTAAGTCTTAATATGAGACCTTACCAGTGTTCAGTCAGATTCAGACCGGCTGGCCCTCCAACCGCTCTCCAGGCGTCTTTTATGGTGCTTCATCTCCCTCAGCTCCTCGGTGAACCAAGGAGCCAAGCGAGATCAGCGCCGAGTCAGAGGCCGCAAAGGCACGACCCGATCCAAAGCTCCAGTGGCCGCCCTATCCCAGGCAGCCACCAGGTCTTCGGTCGAGCCGTGAGCCAGAGCCTCAGGAAACGGCCCAAGCTCCATCTGGAACCGATCCGGGTCCATCAGGCACCTGGGGCAGAATCACCTCATCGGTTCTGCCTCCCTGTGGCGGGGTGTGGTGGTTCGAAGGTCAAAGCAAAGGAGGGAATGATCCGACCACGACAAGGGTTCAGTCACTATATCCCCGATATCGAGATCATTCATGCCACCTGACAATTCTGCAGGTAATTATGGTAGCTGGAGTCTGAACACATTTGGAAGATCCCACATTGGAAAAGTTTGACTTAATCCATAATATAATTGGCTTGTTTATGGCAGCCATTATAGATTATGAGTAATAGTTAATGGCTTAGTGCATTCAAAAATCTCAGACAACCCTAATTTATTTACTGGGCTATAGTTAATGATAGAAAGCCACTTTTAGCTGTGCTTTTTTTAAAAAAAAATCTAATCTGGTAATTTCAAGAGGAAGTAGCTTTAAATGCAGTTAAATTCCACAACGTATGCCATGCAAGTTCAAGGAGGCATTTATTTTGATATTACTTTTTTAAAATATGCTTTATCTAAGCCATTAAATGAGTACTTAACAAATATATTTAAACTGAAACAGTGACAGGCCATAAATTATTCCTGTTATAAAGTATTACTAAATTTGGTCTCTGATCATTCAAGTAATATTCTTTTTGTTTCTCCTTATCCATTTCTCTGCTTATCCAAGATTTCTGCAAGCAAGATGAAAGACAGAGTAATGTAAAATGTACAAGGGCAGAATATGGAATTGCATGGCAGTATTTGCATTTCAAGTTGCAAGCTAAGTATTGGGTTATGTTGGAAGAATTGTCAATTTAGAACAGGTAATAAAATATAACCGTACTTGGGAAAAATGCCAAATTAACTGCATTGAAATGAACTATTTTGGAGAATCCATTCATTATCAACAAGTAGTGATGATATCCCTCAAATCCAGTTCAGAAAATATGGGTTTCCTTAGTGACAATATGAAGTAGATTGTCACTCCCTTCTTTCAGTAAGTGTTTTTTTTCTCTACATAGCAGACTTGTATTCCTATTATTTCTGTGTTGTGATATCCTAAACCAATGTTGCATGGTGAATAAGAAATGAGTTTGAGACTGGGGAGACCAATATCCAAATGGCTATGACTCTTACTGTGTGATTTTTGGCCAATCACCTGCTCTTCCAGCCCAAAGTGCTCACAGGGTTGTTGTGGGGATTCTCACGTTTTATTTATTTAGTTATTAAACTTTTATGCCACCTATCTCATCTTAAGGTGATTCTGGGCAGTTTACAATCAATAAAAAATCCAAATAAAACATTAAAACAATAAATAGTAGGGCCCGGAGGGCGGTGTCCCTCTGGTTGAAATGTGCCCACCAGGCTTCAGAGCATTCCATCAGCCAAGGGCCCAGGGGAGGGGAGGGGGGTGGCGGTTATTATTAACGAGGATCTGGGTCCTAGGGAGACCACTGTGCCTCAGATAGCCAGATGTGAGTCCCTCCTTGTGAGGTGGGGTCGTGGGGTTCAGATGGGCTTGTTGCTTATGTACCTGGCTCCCTGCCACGTGGCAACAGCCCTACCTGAGCTACTTGACATGATAGCCACGGTGGCAGTAGATACACCCAGGCTTTTAGTCATGGGTGATTTCAACTTGCCATCCGTTGGTGAAACGTCTGAGGTGGCTCGGGAGTTCATGGCTTCCATGACGGCCATGGACCTGACCCAGTTAGTTCATGGCCCTACTCACAAGGGAGGTCACACTATGGATCTGATTTTTGTCTCTGGCCAGTGGTTGAGTGGTCTTGTTATTGGGGATATAGACGTGGAACCCTTGTCATGGACAGACCATTCACTCCTTCGCCTGGATCTTCGAACCACTTCCCCGCGCCGCAGGGAGGCGGATCCAATTAGATGGATCCACCCCAGGCGCCTGATGGATCCTGAGAGGTTCCAGACGGAGCTTGGGCCATTTCCTGAGGTTCTAGCACATGACTCGGCCGAGGAGCTGGTAGCCGCCTGGGACCGGGCGGCTGGTGGGGCCTTGGACCGAGTCGTGCCTTTGCGGCCTCTGACCCGGTGCCGATCCCGTGCGGTACCTTGGTTCACTGAGGAGCTGAGGGAAATGAAGCACCAGAAAAGGCGCCTGGAGAGTGGTTGGAGTGCCAGTCTCGCTGAATCTGATCGAACACGGGTAAGGTCTCATATTAAGGCCTACCTAGTGGCGATAAAGACGGCAAAGTTTAATTACTTTTCCGCCTCTATTGCGTCATCAGGGAATCGTCCGGCCGCCCTGTTCAGGATAACCCGCTCCCTGCTTCATCTGGGAGTGCGGGAGGATCCCTTGGAAGGCAGGGCGGAGGATTACGGACAATACCTGTATGACAAAATCGCTCAGATCCGGGGGGATTTGGACTCTGACTGGGTAGATCGGGGCAGGGTGACGAGGAATAGTCTTGAGAATGTTATCTGGGAGGAGTTTGATGCTGTGACTCCTGATGATGTGGACAGGATTTTGGGGAGACTTAGTGCGGCCACATGTTTACTGGACCCGTGTCCCTCCTGGTTGGTACTGGCTTCCCGGGAGGTTACACGAGGCTGGCTCCAGGGCGTTATTAATGCTTCGTTGAGTGAGGGTCACTTCCCCGCTGCCCTGAAAGAGGTGGTGGTGAGGCCTCTCCTCAAGAAGCTGTCCCTGGATCCGGCAATATTGGCCAACTATCGTCCTGTCTCCAGCCTTCGCTTTATGGCGAAGGTTGTTGAGAGTGTGGTCGCGCAACAGTTTCCGCAATTCCTGGAGGAAACATCTTATCTAGATTCGTTCCAGTCGGGTTTCAGGTCTGGGCACAGCACGGAAACGGCATTGGTCGCGTTGGTTGATGATCTCTGGAGGGCTCGGGACAGGGGTTGCTCCTCTGTTCTGGTCCTATTAGACCTCTCAGCGGCTTTTGATACCATCGACCATGGTATCATGCTGCACCGGCTGGAAGAGTTGGGAGGCACCGTGTTACGGTGGTTCTCCTCCTTTCTCTCCAACTGGTCGCAGTTTGTGTTGGCAAGGGGGCAGAGGTCGACCTCGAGGCCTCTCATTTGTGGAGTGCCGCAGGGATCGGTCCTCTCGCCCCTTCTGTTCAACATTTATGTGAAGCTGCTGGGTGAGATCATCCGTGGCTTTGGGGTGAGATACCACCAGTACGCTGATGACACCCAGCTGTACATCTCCACCCCAGGCCACCCCAACGATGCCCGTGAAGTGATGTCCCAGTGCCTGGAGGCTGTGCGGGTCTGGATGGGGAGGAACAGGCTCAAGCTCAACCCTTCCAAGACTGAGTGGCTGTGGTTCCCGGCATCCCGATATAGTCAGTTGACTCCATCACTGACTATTGGGGGCAAGTCGTTGGCCCCCACAGAGAGGGCTCGCAATCTGGGAGTCCTCCTGGATATGCAGCTGTCCTTGGAGGAACATCCCTCGGCTGTAATCAGGGGGACCTTTTGTCAGGTTCGCCTGATTCGCCAGTTGCGGCCCTTTCTTGATCGGGATTCCCTGTGCACAGTCACTCACGCCCTCGTCACCTCTTGCCTTGACTACTGCAACGCTCTCTACATGGGGCTCCCCTTGAGGAGCACCCGGAGGCTCCAGCTGGTCCAGAACGCAGCAGCGCAGGTAGTGACGGGAGCAGCATGGCGCTCCCATGTAACACCGCTCCTGCGCGAGCTGCACTGGCTCCCGGTAGTCTTCCGGGTGCACTTCAAGGTGCTGGTTATCACCTTCAAAGCGCTCCATGGCATAGGGCCTAGCTATCTTCGAGACCGCCTGCTGCTACCGACGACCTCCCATCGACCCGTGCGCTCCCACAGAGAGGGCCTCCTCGGGGTGCCATCAGCCAAACAGTGTAGGCTGGTGACCCCCAGGGGGAGGGCCTTCTCTGTGGGGGCACCTACCCTCTGGAATCAGCTCCCCCCAGAGATAAGGAGAATCCAGGACCTCAGTGCCTTCCGTCGTGCCCTTAAAACCCATTTTTTCAAGCAAGCCGGGCTGGCTTAAGAAGAAATTTTTAAATGTTTTTTAAATGTTTTAAATATTTTAATGGGTAGTGAATTTTAATTGGGCCAAATTTATATATATTTTAATTGTTTTTTGATATTTGTCCTGCATGTTTTTTTTAATTCTGGCTGTACACCGCCCTGAGTCCTCAGGGAGAAGGGCGGTATAGAAATTCAATAATAAATAAATAAATAAAAATAAATAAATTTGACTTAAAAATTGCCAAAGATGAGAAGTAAGGGAGCAAGATACACACAGGAAAGTGGTGGATTCTCATCTTAGTCCATTAACCACTTCCAGAATGACATGCACTTATTGGGGCCCCAAGTCACTTGGCAGAATCTTCTGTTTCAGGCCCTTTCAGAAGGCCAAAAGGGTGGGTGCAGATCTCACCACTGGGGTGAGGCATGATGTTCCAGAGGTTGGAGCTAAAAGGCGAAAGGGAAGCAGTATGCTCCCTCCCACATATTGGAATAGAGCAGGTATTCGACAGAAAAACACTTAATCTCTCCCCTGGCTCAAGCTGATGAAGGGAGGAGGACTTATGACTCAGAGGTTAATACAACTGCCTAATATGCAGGCAGCCCAAGTTCAAATCCGAGTAAGGGTATGCACCACTGTAATTACTTATGGAGGGAGGTTCTGTTTTTAATGTAGTTTCTGGTACTTGTGCCTAACAATTTCCTTTTCTAAAGGTTTTAAAACAGCTTTGATAAATTGAGTTCTGTTCTTAATGTAGTTTCTGCTTCTAGTACCCAACAATAATCTTATTTATTCCTTCCCAGGGCTTCCTGAGGCCAGTCACCAGAGAGCAAACAAGATGGTGAGCAATGAGAATTCAGAAAATCCCACCCTCTCTCTTTCATTGGTCAATTCAAGGAGCGAAAAACACCTGCCCTTTTTACATCTGTCTGTCACAGCAAACTTTTTGCTCTAATTGGCCGAATCTGTTGAGAAGAAAGCTTCAAATGCAGAAACACAGGAAATTTTTACAGCAACTCAAATTCACCCCATATTAAAACAGCTCTTATAGTCTTTTAAAAGCTGGTGGGGAGATATTCAGACTGGAATTCTTCTGTCATTTCCCCTCCATTTTAGAATTCATTAAGAACAGGAGATGGCAGTGTTTAGTTCAGATCTCCCAGCATTTTTTTATCAAAATGCTAACTCATCAGTTTTCATAATTACAATAGTGTAGAGAGGCAAGTAAAATAAAGGCCAGCCATACTCACACCAAGATTCATTGAAGGACTGTGAAGAAAACAATTTGCTTCCTTTTGAGACCTAAAAAATTAATATGAGGAGGAGATGTATTCTTTTAATTAGCATTTTTAAATCACTAAGAAGGGCAAATCATGATCACTTTAAACACTCAGAAATCAGGCCCTATTCAAAATGGAAGAGCCTAGCTTTCCTTTTTCATCTAATTGTGCCTAATGCTGAGGAAAATAATATTTTAGGTCCAGCCTGAAGCCAAGCAAAGGAGCAGCTGATTCATAGCTCACACTTACCTCATGCTGTCCCAGACAATGTATGATAGCACTTATACATATTTTATGAAAGATAACTGCCATACTCTATAAACATACAATAAAACAAAATGTATGTAAATATATTCAATGACTGGCCATAAATCATATACTGTATTCTAAAAATGTTAAATGCAAATAGAAATGTTTTGGGTATGTCTTTTAGCGCAATTCAGAGCTGCCACTGCTAACAAGCAAAGAGAAGCAAGCACCACAGACAAGGAATAAGGAAAAAAATGATGGCGCAGCTGGGGAAATTTATATTCTGGAGTGAAGTATCTCAGTTGTTAGTCACCCATATAGACCAGAGTTTCTCAACTTTGGCAACTGTAAGATGTGTGAACTTCAACTCCCAGAATTCCGCAGCAAGCATGCTGTCTAGGAAATTTAAGGACTTGAAGTTTACATATCTTCCAGCTACAAAGGATAAGAAACACTGATGTAGAGGACTATTCCTTTCAAGATGAAGGATACAATTGGCACTGTTCACATCATGTCCCACCCCCACCCATCCCCAAACAGTTCTGTGCTTTATTATTGTTACACTCTAATTTGCAAATATGATTTCTGCACACTATTTCCTGTTTGAAATTTATTTAAAACAAGTACCATCACTCCAACAGGAATAAAACCAGAGTTTACTTTTGCTTTCAAATATTTTTTTCTCAGAAATAAAAAGTTTTGTTGCAGGAAGTGCAATTATTCTTTTAAAGGAATAATTGTTGGACAGAATGATGTAACAGCCTTGTAGTCTGTGCCAGATTGGAGTTGGTTCAGGTGCAAAAGCTGGAGACTTGTTTCTCCTAGGATCCAGATCTGTTCTTCTGGGGAAGATTGAGGGATTTTACTGGACTTTGCTATAACTATGCCACTGGGCAGTCATGCCCCATTGTCAACTTTCCAGCCTCAAAACTCTTGAATCCGTGCAAATAAAATACAACCTTCCATTCCAAACTCACCCTATCCCTCAGCATCTCAATATCAGTGGAAGACATTGTTGCTTTAAGAACAATATCACTCTGATTAGCATCTATATATAGATGGGGTGAGCTGATAAATTTCTCTTCCAACAGCAAAGGATCTTGGTTCACTCTGATAACCCTAGGCTCCAGGACTTTTTTTCTATACATATGTGCTACAAAACACTAGGCATAGAAGAGGGAAAATAAATATAGCAACAGAAAAAGTTGCCCAAAAGAACTTATCCTTAGGAGATGAGCAAAATAATACAAAGATAAAGGTATCTTTGCTGGAAAGCATGTAGGAACAGGTGGACATAACACACGAGACAAATCCAGCCTTAGAGATTTACATTTTGAATCCCTATTCCAGATCCATGTCTACCTATTTTTGGAAGCAGAATGTGTGGACACAAAGAGCAAGATTTTTCCCCCTTTTGCAGCACCAAGACCACTCTGTGGAATAGGGCTGCTATTTAACATGTTTAAGGTTCATTTAAGGCTATTTTAGATGAAAGTTTTCTGTAATACCATATGTATTGCCTTCAGTATTTTTATAGAAAACCTAGAAAACCTATTCTAATTTGTAGTGATAATACTAGAATTCTGAGCCAGGATGAGGAAGCATAGTATGTTTGTTGAATGCTTTGGGTTGGGGTACCCTACATGCAGCGAATAGCCTACAGGTTTAGTTAATACATACCTCAAATATTGTGCTTGGTGCAGTACAATAACAGAATCTGCAGAGAAAAGATGCAATTGCAATACATGAGCAATAGATGGCAGCAAAATCAGACAACTAGCACTTCCTTAAGAAACAAGGCAGTGAAACTGCTGAGCAGGATATCTGAATCCTTTCCAACCCTTTTACCAGCAGAGGCCAGAGAAGGCATCTGTATTTTCCTTTGGGAGATGTTGGGGTGTGTGCATTTTCTCCTCATGAAACAACCAGGGTGTGGCATACAGCCTGTCTCTGTGTATACCATGGTATGTAGACACCATTAAAGTGTGTACTGTGAGGTTGCTTCCAAGTGTATGAATTATAGGAAGTATAATCAGGGTGTGTAAATATGAATTTTGTCTGTATTCTTCTGTTTTCACTAGTGCTGTATCTATGTGTGCAAGTATGTGTAAAGGACAAACTGCATTTGCTCGACTCTGTGTGCTCTAACAGATGGGAAAGGGGCTTAGAAATTAACAAGCTGCTCTCCAACTGCTTCTCCCATAGAGAAGTATTGAACTTTTTTTTTCCAATTTTCTCTGTAGTCTCCAGTCAGATCTGCTCTGTCTTTGATCTTGATTGTCCTTTTACCAGCTTTGCTTAAATTTGGTGCTGTTCTCATTTCACAGTTATTACTGGGATGAAGAGAAGTTAAACTCCTCCAACATCATTTCTTTCCAACTTCCCATTGGGTTGGAAATAATTTTAAAGGTGCAAAGGAAATAAAATGACACTCTCAAATCAGGCTCAATATTTATTGATTATATACATGCATCCTGCTGAGCAGTGTGGCCTTCCAGTCCCAATGTATTCTAGTTGCAGCCCTGGAATTCCCCCACCTCATCCCAATGCTAAAATAGTCCCTGCTCGCTTTCTTTCTCACCAGCTAAGGTCAACTAAGTACAATCAAGCTGAGGCTGAACAAATTAGGCCAGTAATTAATAGCTTGATCATACTCCATGATTGGTTGATGAATGGCACAACTGTCTAAAATAGATGATGACATTTGCTCTGAAAGTGTTCAGGTTTTTTATTTCTTTTCCTCAAGGCTCTTTTCTGGAGAGATTTAACTCATTAAACCTGTTAGAATTCTTTTTGGAAGCTTCTCTCTTAGCAAGAAACGCAGCCCTTTTATTGTGTGTACCCATGTGAACTTAGAGAAGCACAAAAAGTTGTCCATAGAAAGATTGCATGCATGTTAAACATGCTTGTCTATCACTCTTAGATCAGAAAATATGAATACAAATTGGCTAATATTGATAACATGCTTGTCCTCTCACATTTATAATACCACTCAAACCTGTCACTACTCAGCAGAAAGTTTATATTTGTTTTTAAATATTAGCCTCATGACCAATAGCTTTTGTTGAGGAATATAATACTGAAGGGTTTATTGGTTTTCAGAAGCTTCATTGTGGCCTAATAATCAACATTTAGTAATTTATGAGCATACAAACAAATGGTGTTCATTGGTTTTGCTGGTACATTTTACATTAAGATTATAGCCTGACAAGCTATAGGGCAGGATGGCAGATATGACTAAGTTCAAATTATTAGTAATATTTAGTATGTCCAAGTATTATGTTTATGGATAGGAAAATTCTATTTGTATTATTTTTACATTATTATTTAATAAATAATTTCTATCCATTTGATTGATTTTCTCATAATAAACTAAGTTTACACAATAAAAATACAATTCCAATTCAAAAACAGTTGTATAGCCTTCCTAAAAGTCAGTAAGGAAGATGTAGGCAGAGGCATTCTAGACACATAATGTCATAGAAAAAGCCATGTCTTGTCATGGGAATATAATTCAGTGATGTAATGCCTGCCTTATTTGATTCAATGTATCCACAGCAATGGCTCTGATGTTATCTGGCTAATGTTATTATTTTCATGCTTTCTTACATCTGTCACAAAAATGTAAATCATGGTATTTGCACACATCTCTCTCCTCCCCTCTCCCCCCCCTCTCTCTCACACACCCCATGGATACATGTTTTCACTTTTATCTTTTGTAATACTAATCCTTATTTATTTAATAGCAGAAGAAGACGAGCAAGCAAGGAAGAAGTCAAGTCAAATTTTCTAATGTTATTTTGAACAATATGAGCTCTCAGATTTTTATCCTTAAAAAAAGGTTGATATTTGTTTCATCAACTATTAAAAAATTAAAATATTGTGCACCACCTAAAGTCTCACAATGGAGGTAATCAACCAATATTTTAAATAAATAAATAAAAACTGTGCTGGACTAAATTACAAACTCAGTGTTCCGGAATGCTGATTCCATAATAGCCAACAGAAGCAGAACATGCATGTAATAGCAATAGCACTTAGATTTATATGCCGCTTCACAGTGCTTTACAGTCCTCCCTAAGCAGTTTACAGAATCAGCATGTTGCCCCCAATAATCTGGGTCCTGATTTTATCAATCTCAGAAGGGGAGAAGGGTGAGTCAATCTTGAGTTGGTGAGAATTGAAATGCCGAACTGCTGGCAATTGGCAGTCAGCAGAATTAGCCTGCAATACTGCATTCTAACCACTGCACCACCACAGTTCATCCTTAGCAACAGATACTTTAGTGCATATTTTAATGATGGAGAAAACATCCTACTCAGTTTCTTCACCTAATATAATGTTATGCATCTCTGCTTCAGGCCAATGGCAGAATTAGAACTCACAGTCTCCTGGTTTCTTGCCTGATGTCTTAACTACTAGTTTGTTCTCAGAGCATCTTATAGTTTTATTTTTTTTTTCCACTACTTTCCAAGGCACGTTTCATTTTCAAACACAACTCTTTTTTTGATCTTCCAACGTATCAACTTTCTCCCATTCTGTTCTATTTTCAGCACACTGTCTTGCTGAAAGTGAGAAGACAGACAAGCAAATGGAGAAAATCGTGAGCCCCCTTTTTTTTCAGCTGAAAATCATAAAAAAAGAATATCAAGCTGGCTGATTGGAATTTTAAAGCAGATACTGTAGCAAGATACTTATAACAATAGTTTAAAAGTATATCAGTGTTAATATCCCCTTATATGCAGTATTTTGATGCCAAGTTCTTTAAAAGTTTTACTTTACAAAATGTTTGTAATTGAATGGCATGGATGGTTCCTATTCACATTTACTATTGGAATAGTGTACCAAACCTGACCTGTTTTATTTTGTAGACGGTATTATGATTAATCAAATACATTCCCTTAATCCTCCCCCAATTATCAAAACATGTTGAAACGTAGCAGGGCTTTAGGGCTACACCCCGTTAGATTTGATTTTAGGGAGAAAAGCATTGGCTTTCCCATTGTTGATGTTAACAAAATGCACAATAATACAATGAGTAACTTTCCCAAACCTGGCTGAGTGTGGGCAAGCAGGAATTTTAACAAAATACAGAGACAACAATATAAGTATGAGGAATCCAATCCTGTGGTAGTCTGGAGATGAACAGAGTTGCCCAAAGCCTTTTTGTCTGCTCAGAAGAACCCACATATATGGGTCCCCATACATATGCATCTGCTGCAACCCCCTTCAACTGGCCCTGGCAAGTACCATTTTAAGATCTTTTTATCCATTATTTGGTGACTCGATTTTTAATCTTTCATTCTCTAAGGAATAATAAAAATAACGCTGCCACAACAGAGGGATTTCATAGTGTCAAATAATATATTAAATGTCAAGATGCACCTTATTAATAGTAAGAGTGCTGTATAAACAAATAATATTCATTTATAAAACAAAATATGGTAGAAAATAAAATTTAAAAATCACACATTGAATAGTAAGAGAGAACAAGGACAAATACAGTTATGAATGTTACAAATATTTTACTAAAAATACTGAAAAAGGAGCATAGAGCTTTTCCAAATAAAAATCTAACAGCTAGCAGCATCAGAGGTGAAAGAAAATATATATAATTTCTATATATGACCAACATAAAATAAATAGTACTGGTAAATGAAAATTCTATGAATGATCAGGATATAAATGAATGGAAAGGAAATATTTTTAAGGATTAGAATGTTAAAATAAGAACTGGTTGAAAGAATGAAGACTATTGAGGAAAAGCAAGACACTGGGAAAATACAAAATTCACAAGCAATTTGCTGTTACCACCTTAACCAAAGTTCTTCAAACATTCCTGTTCAGTTGAGACTGAACTAGCCAAACCACAGAAAGCTGAATAAACCATTGTGTAAGATTCAGCATGCTTTCCCCAAGCATCATGCAGCCCCTAATAAAGTATGATTACATAATAGATTTCTCGGTTATTCCAGTTTTCCTTCCCACCAACGATGAATGGATTCCATGTATGGGGGGAAAGAAGATAGAAAAAGCTTAAATGAGTGCCACAAAGCTTCAGGACACTTAAATTTAGTTCCAATTGTTTCAGGATGAATTCATTTTACAAATGAAAGGTATTTGGGACAATAGGCATATCTGGAATTTCCAACAATGGAATGGAACGGAACGGAATGGAACGGAACAGAACAGAACACAATAGAATCAGTGGTGGGTTTCCACCAGTTCGCCCCAGTTCAGGCGAACCGGTAGTGACAGTGGCGGGAGGCTCCACCCACCCACCCACCCAGATGTCATCATGGACGCTTTGTATGCGCAGAAGCTTCTGCGCATTCGCAGAAGTGCCGCATGCAAGCGAAGCAAGCGCGTGAGCATGCACGCTCCCAATTCCGAATCAATAGCAAAGGTAAGTAGAACCCATTACTCAGTAGAATAGAGTAGAATAATAGAGCATTCTTTATTTGCCAAGAGTGATTGTACACACAAGAAATTTGTCTCTGGTGCGTAAGTTCTCAGTATACATACAAACAACAAAGTAATATAATCAAAGGAAACCAGTAGGAGAAGGTAATAAGAATGATGAGAAATATAATAGTGATACAGCCCTAGAACATAGGTAAATATTCTTAGATACAATACAGTGCTGAGGGAAATTAAGACAGTGGAGAGTGATGGCATCAGGGGGAAACAGTCTCTCTGTCTTGTTGTTTTGGCTTCCACACTCCAAGGGGAGGAGTTGAAATAAATTTTCTCAGTCCTCTTTCTGGCTGGTGCAGTATACTGGTCCTCAGTGGAAGGCAGGCTGGTTGCAATGTTTTCTTCCGCAGTCCTATAACTATCTGTTGAAATTTGCACCTCTCCTACTTGGTTGCTGTACCAAGCCAGACAGTTATAGAATTACAAATGACAGACTCAATAATTCCTCTGCATAACTGCAGATCCTTGGGCAATCTGAGCTTTCTGAATTGGTGCAGGAAGAACATTCTTTGCTATGCCTTTTTAATAATGGTTCTAATGTTAGGTGCCCGTTTCAAATCCTGGGAGATTATAGAACCCAGAAACTTGAAGGTCTCTACTGTTGCTACTATATTGCATAATATTATAAGAGGTGGTAGAATAGGGAAGCTCCTCCTATAATCTACTATCATCTCTACAGTTTTAAGTATGTTCAGCTCTAGATTGTTCCATGCGCAGCACAGAGGCAGTTGTTCAACCTCCTCTCTGTATATTATTACTATATTATAGTATAGTATATTATTATATTGTATTTTACTTATGGACTACATTTACATCCTGTAATTTAGGAAATGTTGGCTCAAACATACCCTGTGTATATTCCATGAAGTATATTCACAAAATAACTGCCACTATCAGCAAAACCAATCATATTTTTTTTATTTTCTAATAGTTATGGGGCTTGTCTTATGTCCAGGAACATTCTTAGAAATAAAGAATATGCTGAATATTATGCTTTGTTTTCCATTAATTTTTAATTAAAACAATATTTTGGTGGCATGGAGTCTGTAAATTGCAAAACAATGTCCCTATGGGTGCAGTGCTGTTTCCCCATGTTACCTACCTTGGCTTAGAAAAAAATATCAAGTCTCACCACAGATCCCCAGTTTGACTTGGGATCCAGCCAAATAAAATATACACCCTTCCTAGAAGCATAATGCAAAATTTAATCTCGTTCCCCCACAGGGCTCAAATTTTAAGCAACCAGATACTTTCCTTTTCGTCATGTAGCTCTTTTCTTTCCCCACTTTTCCAAGACCTGTTTGATAATGTTCTTTAAAAAATATGGGGGGGGGCAGGGATTATCATTTGGATTTGCCAGAAAAGGAGGGTGAACAAGCTAAAGTGATGGGGTCAGAGCATTATGTGTGAGAAACTCACACAAAATAGATAGATTAATAGATAGATGTAGAGATAGATATAGAGAGACACATGAGGGAAAGGGGAGGGGGAGAAGAGAGAGAGTTTGGGCATCAGAGGTGGAAGTGAATAGCACTTCCTTCACTGAAATCAGCAGGCAGTAGTAGCTAGTTCGTTTCCTAATAATTTCAGGCACCTTCTCAGTTGTTCCTGCCCTCTCACTTCCCTCAGAATGTGTCAATAATCACCCACAGGTTTACACCCACTCACCCCAGTGGCAATTTTTTTAAAGGTTTTGGAAGTCTAGCCTTTCTGAAAGCTGCTGTTTCTGCTTCTCTTTAGAAATGATAATGACTCACTTGATAATTCAGAGGTGCTCCTGATTTATATTATAACATGCATTAACTGCAAACTTGTCTTATAATTACCAAATTGTTTCTTTTGTTAGAAGGGCTTTGCAAGTTTCAGACATAATTTATATATATATATTTCCAAAGGAAACAGGATTGTTACTTCTGTGCTTTAGTCTGGGTTCACATACTGTAACTTGAAATCTTTTATATAAATACACAGTTCTAGCCATCAACATCCATGGCGCTTTAAAAAATGCAGGCAGATAAGCCACTGTCCCAAGTGTTTGCAATGTAAGATAGGTATAAAAATAGAGAAAAAGTTGTTCCAGAAAAGTAAAAATTTATATTGAGACAGACTCCAAGCAGAAATCATCATATTATGTCAACAATCTTATAAAGGGAAAAATCTGAAAAATAAGGCATGAGAGAAGGTAGATTAAAGGCCAAGGCTCAACAGAGAGCAACAGAACAGACAATAAATAAGATTGGCCTAGATCCTGATATAAAGCCTCCAATGAAATCAAAGGGAATTGAGTTTATTATATATAATCCATTGGTTGGGTTCATTCAATATGGCTAATTCAGGTTACTCAATCAATCATTGTATTTATATAAACATTACAACCAAATATATCATATTATGACTTAACCTAGAAGCCTGCTATATCAACATACCAAGACCATGGCATGATACACTGAATCCCTGACTACCCATTCCCATTTAACAGTCTTGTGTCGT